AACCCGCAGACCTGGCTGCGCTGCTGGCTTTGGCTCGAAAAGCTAGTTTTGGCCCGACGAGCGGTCTGCAGTGAAACCTCCTTGCTGCTTTCTGCATATGCATGGAGTCCTCGCTGACGTCTTCTGGGCCGACAATGTCCGACGCGGAGATGTGCTGGATTCGACAGAGGCAGCTCGACATCTCCACAAAATACAATGAGGGACCTTGGTCAGACATGGACTATACTGTTTGGAGAGCTTCCTACAACCTGGGCGACATCTCCGACTGGCCTCTCGATGCCGTGGTGGTGCGGTCTGCGAAGCCTGGTGAGAGCTGCTTGCTGGGCAGCGTGCGCTCGGCTGCCGACATCTTCCACGTCGAGGTCAGCACCAACACTTCTGTGACGGTTGTGGTGAGCGTGTGCCGGCCAGCTGAGCTGCGAGTCAGGGGGGCTCCCCAAGACTGGCGCGAGCACTTTTCCCGCTCTGGTGTGCGGCACGTCCAAGTTGAATTGGACGACCCCAGAATCAAATGCAACCGGGATGCTTCCTGGTTCTTCGAGAGCGCAGAGCGGTGCGCCCAGGCTTGGACAGACATGGCTCAGACTTTGCGCACTCTGCGCGAGCAGTGCCAACAGGCGAGCGAGGAGTTCAACGTGCTCTTCCATTGCTTCGGTGGCATTAATCGCAGTCCTGCTGCCCTCTGCGCTTGGCTGGTGCTGGACGGCCAATGCAGCGCAGATGAAGCTGTGGACTGCATCTTGTCGGCTCGGCCAGCTCTGCAACCGTGGAAATGCAGAGATTATGCTCTCTTGGCTTTGCACCGCCTGCAGAACTCTCGCTAGTTTGAACCCTTGCTTACTCCCCTCAACGCTGTCTTGCGAAAGGGTCTTTCGCGTGTACCAGCCCAAGATATAAAATGCAAAGCTGCTTGGCCTCCTGCCTGCGCCTCAACATGCACACATATGCGCCGTCACACATTCCATCGGATGCTCTACACGCATGCGTGCTTCTAGAGGGATGGCCCGAGCGCATGGAGCTTTGAAATCCTCGCAAACAACTTGGGGACGGTGTTGTGGATCTTCTCCTGCGCTCAGAGTTTTGTTGTGATCTCTACCTTGGCTCGAGGCAGGTGTGAAGTTGCAGCATGGCGGGTCTCGGTAGAAAGTCACAGGAACTTAGCCAGCGCGGGATCGTGGAGAAGCATGGATATGGCTGGCGAGCGCATTTTGCGCACATCCGCATCTGCGAGGAGAAGGACACTTCGATCAGAGGTCCGCTGCGTGACAGCAGAAGGAAAGCTCTTGCAGACTTGAAATCCATGCGAGAATGCGGCACGGCGGCCGAGTTGGTCGCTCGCGCAGCACGGCTGAAAGATCCTAACTTGCCTGCTTCGGTGTCCAATGAAGTTTTTTTGTCGACTCAGCGCCTCTCGCTTTGCGGCCTCAATGTCCAGTACCCATGGAGTCGGCTGTTGATGCTTGGGCGCAAAAAGATGGAGGTGAGGAAGTACGCCCTCGGTCACTACCAGTGCTTTTCGGAGGGCGAGCAGCTCTTCCTCATAGAGACCGTCGGCGCCGGGTCCACCAAGGGTGCCATCGTGGACACGGAGATTGGCCCTCCTCCTTCACGGGCTCAGGTCCTGGGCATCATCACCTTTGCTGGGGCGACCGAGTTCTTGGACGATCGGGACTTCGACTCTCACAGGCAGGATACGCTCATCGAGGTCGACAGTCCATTCGATTGGTGGTCCTCGGGTGCTAAGCGGTTTTTCGGCTGGGTGGTCCTGGACGTCAAGGCTTTCAAGATGCCCGTGTCGGTGGGAGGGCGGCCAAGGTCCATGCTGGGCTGGACCAAGCCAGTTGAGCTGTCCTTTCAGTTCGAAGTTGCTGAGTAGCTTTGTAGTAAGTAGTAACGTCAATCCGGAATGGAGAGGGAAGCGCGACGCGACCCGGAGTGGGAAGCTGGCGCACATGATTTCAAGTCGACGGCGCGCTTGCGATGAAAAGGTTAGCCTCTGCAAGGCAGCGTGTCAATTCGGAGCGCGGGTGCCACATGTCAGACAAATACACATGTGGGTTCCCCAAACGGACGCTGTCTTGCGAAAGTACGACGGCGCGGCCACCTCTGTTTAATATGACGGTGCGACGCACGCGTGTGTGAAAATGCAGCTAGGACCGCCCGGGACGATTGGCACCTTTGTCGACCGACTTGCAAGTAAAGCTGTTTTCTGCGCGCAGGTATTCCATGGCGACCAACATGCACGGCCCTTACTTAGACTCCACCTCTTTTGTCTGTTTTTGTGCTTGTGTGGTTTCTGCTTCTTTCCTTGCACCGGCGCAGGTGCGTGCCGCGACCGGCCGCTGGAGCTCGGCGTTGTCTTCAACGCCGATGAAAAGTCTACAGAGTTGACCACAAGTGCATGGCATTCAACTCCACACACTTGAATGCCATGCGGTTCCAGTGCATACAAGTGCAGTGTACAAGTGACTATGCAACCATGTAAGGGCATACATTTCTCCAAGTGCATACAGTTCGATTACAAAGAATCAAGTGCATGGAGTCAACGCACGGCAAATCGATGCTTTCGGGCCATCCCTCTTCTAGTTAAGAAGTGTTTTTGCCCCCCTTCCCCCCCAAAAAAAAATTGAAAACAAACCTCGACGCTTTCTAGGAAGGTCGGGTTGCACACCGACAATGTGCTGCTACCTTTTTATGTGCATGCACATAAAAAAGTAGCAGCACACATGACAAGGAGCTGCCGTTTCTCCGAAGTGATTGAACCCCAAAGCCTAAACCCTAAACCCCAAACCCTAAACCTTGAGAAACCCCAGGTCGAAATGGAGAGTCTGGCTGCAGCCTCCGCTGCGGCGCTCTGCATCTACGACATGTGCAAGCCAATCAGCAAAGGCACCACGCCTGGAGGGATTGTTAGAATTTAGGGTTTAGGGTTTAGGGTTTAGGGTTTAGGGTTTAGGGTTTAGGGTTTAGGGTGTAGGGTGTAGGGTGTAGGGTGTAGGGTAAGGGTTAAAGCAGATCAAGTTTAGGGGATAAATTCGGGGCTTGGGGTTCGGAGTTTAGGGGGTTAGGTGGCGGTCTTTGGAACCTGGTTGACTGTGGTAGGGGCTTGGGGATATTGGGGGATTTGGGTTGATAAGTACGCAGGAATTAGGGTTTAGGGTTCGAGTTTAGGGTTTAGGTTTTAGGGTTCCCAACCAAAGACAGTAGACCAACACCTTTGTCAAGAACGAATCCCCGAGAGCCCTCTTCTGGGAGGATCCCAAACAGCAGAACCCCCATATACATAGTACCCAAAACTAGGTCTTCTCCCCTAAGCCTCAACCCTAAACCCTAAACCCTGAACCCTGAACCCTAAACCCTAAACCCTAAACCCTAAACCCTAAACCCTTAAGAGGATCTACTTCTTGGACCCTCCCAGAGTTCTGGGTCAGAGTGGCTCAGACCTTGAAACCACGGAAGTAACAGACCTTGACATGCCCTAAGAGGCTCTGTTTAGGGTTTAGGGTTTAGGGTTTAGGGTTTAGGGTTTAGGGTTTAGGGTTTAGGGTTTAGGGCTCTGAATCTTCCAGGATTTTTGAAGACATCCGAATACCCGATTCCTGCAGTTCAGGGCTTATGGCTTGGGGTTCCCCTCCGTCCGTGGCTACAAGATGCTTTAGGGCTCCTAGGTCGAAATTGAACCCCCAAACCCTCAACCCTAAACCCCAAACCCTAAGCCCAAAACCCTAAACCCTGAACCCTAAACCCTGAACCCCAAACCCTAAACCCTGAACCCTAAACCCTAAACCCCTAAACCCTGAACCCTACCAAGTGAAGGCATCGTGATTACCAACCTCCGGCTTCTGAGCAAGTCGGGCGGTAAGAGTGGAGACTACAGGGCCTCGTGACGCCTAGGGACTTAGGGTTTAGGGTTTAGGGCTAGGATTGGGGTTTAGGGTTTAGGATTTGGGGTTTTTGGGGTTTTTGGGGTTAGGGTTTGGGGTTTAGGGTTTAGGGTTTGGGGTTTAGGGTTTAGGGCTACTGGAAGCCTCTGCTTGCGCAGTTTCTGGCAACACACGCCGGAGTCCGGATGCAAACAGGGTTTTGGGTCCAAAAAAGCGTAACGTCTTGCGAGCCGGTTGCAGAAGGGTTCAACCAAGGGCTTAGCGTTTAGTGCATCGCCTTTGTGGCCAAAAGGCGCCATGGTGGCTGTTGAAACCGAGAAGATGGGGTTTGCCTCGCGTTGCTGGGTTAGAGAAGGTTTGCGATTTGTTCTGCAACTGTTCTCTCCGTGGAAGCCTGAAATTCTGGCCCGAGGCTGTCCTTAACTGCTCCCCAAAACAGAAGTTGAAGTAAGTGTTTCGCGCTAGAGTGCAAAATATTTGCCGAAACAGACAAGGGAACAGGCCCGGAAGTCAAACACCTCCGGGTCCCGCGGCTTGCAGCTTAGAGGAAACTGAAATGCATCAGCAGGATTTTTGGGCACCTTGGGCGTAGGGTATCGGGCACCGGCTGTAGGTACAAATGCATCCCGGAGCCTGCTGGAAGACCTTTAGGGTTTAGGGTTGAGGGTTTAGGGTTTAGGGTTTAGGGTGTAGGGTTTAGGGTTTAGGGTTTAGGGTTTAGGGTTTAGGGGAAGACCTAGCACAGAGAAGCCTTCCTTGCCCATGCCTCAGGGCCCACGGCATGACGTCTCAGACGCCCCTACTATGCCCTAAACCCTACACCCTAGGCGCTATAAACCCTACACTCTAAAATGTCGCTGCGGAGAGTCGCGCGAGAACGAGGGCAGTGCGGGTGGCAAATAAACCCTCGCTGGCCTTGGGCTTTCAGACAGCTGCAGCTGTAAGAAGACGGAGTCAGACATCAAGGCTGATGTTTTTTTTCTTTACATGCAAGCTCTGACAGTACCCCACAAGCAGCCACCCTGAACTACACACCGACATGTTCATGCAGACCAGGACTCCTGGGGTTCAGGATCACCTTTCCTGGAGCCAAGTGCTTTTCATCGTTGCATCGCCATGGCTGTAGCTTTGCGGAACGCTCGCTTCGTCGGCCCGCACTTGGGCGCAATCCAAGCCCCAGGGCTGCAAGAGGAGTTAGGGTTTAGGGTTTAGGGTTCAGGGTTCAGGGTTCAGGGCTTAGGGTTTAGGGTTTAGGGAGGCTTCGAGGGTACCTTAGAATGGTGTTTACCTTTGCATACCTTTACCCTTGTTGGGTGGAAATGCATCTTAGACATGAGCACCTGAGCCCGAAGCCCTTTATATATAGAAATATATATATATATGTATATGTATATGTAGATGTATATGTATATCTGTGTGTATGACATACTTCTGTCTATACAGGTGTGTACATGTCTCGAAGATGCAGGGTCCAGGTTTCGGAGTGTGGATTTTTGGGGGTACCGTGAGGTCACACACTTTGCAAGCTACTTCAGGACGCACCCGCCTTGGGCAACCCTCAGCCGCCCTGAGCCCACGGAAGCCCAGGTGCTCCTTCGGCACGGGTCCAGTGCCACGAGCCTGCTGGAAGAGGCCAAGAGACTTTCTCTGCGATTCTGGATGTTTCTGGGGCCTAGCCTGCCTGCTCCTTTTTCTCACAATTGGGGCCGTTCGAAGACCGGGCCGAAGGCGTATCCACTGGCCCGAACAATGTGCAACGATCGCCTGGCACTACGTTCACAGTGCCATACCTCCCCCATTCTCCCACCTTCATATCTTAGTACTCCACAGGCTGGCTTCAAACCGCCTCACCGTACAGTGGGCCGTGTCCAGTAAGGTGATCAGAGAGCTGTATGGCGCCGCCCAAAACAAGCCTGCTTCTTGGATGTGTTTCCAAAAGGGTTGTTCACGTGCGGCTGGCTTTCCGCGAGGCCAACACCCGGAAGCCCCGGCCCCGAGATTGGAACCTTTTCTCTCCTGGGATGCTAGGACCCTCATTAAGTCCTGAAGTCTAAACTCCCTGAGGCCCCAAAGCCCTCAGCCCTACACCCACGGGGTTGACCTGGGGCTCCAGTCCATGTACCTACAGTTGAGGGTAGTAACTACCCTGAATTCGTAGGCATGACCCATAAAACTGTAGGTAAAAAGTCCCAAGGATATTCTTACCCCTAAACCCTAAAACCTAAACTCTAAACCCTATTTCCTAAACCCCTAAACCCTGAACCCTGAACCCTAAACCCTGAACCCTGAACAGCAGGCGGCCCAGAGAAGGTCGGCTCTGGTGGCAGGCTTCGTTCCCCCGAAGAGGCCCTCGCAGGAGCCCGGGTTGCGTTGCAAGTGGTTTCGGGTTTCGGGTTTCGGGTTTCGGGTTTAGGGTTTAGGGTTTAGGGTTTAGGGCGAACCTTGAACCTTCTAGCAACCCTAGAATCTCGCTCTTCTCCTAGAGCCCGAAACGCTTAGAACCTACACCCGAAATTCGAAACCCGAAACTCCTAACCCTAAACCCTAAACCCTAAACCCTAAACCCTAAACCCTAAACCCTAAACCCTAAACCCTAAACCCTAAACCCTAAACCCTAAACCCTAAACCCTAAGAGGAGCCGCAGGCCCAGGGCCCTCGGCTGCGCTTTGGCCGCGGGCCTTTGGGCAGCGCGGCGCGGGCCGCGGCCCAGCGCCGCGAGGAGGAGGAAGCCGAGGCGGGGGGTTTAGGGTTTAGGGTTTAGGGTTCAGGACCCGGGTTCAGGGTGGAGGGTGTAGGGTTTAGGGTTTGGGATTTCGGGTTTAAGGTTGGGATGTTCCCCCTTCTACAAACAGTCCTTAATGGGATTGGTAGTTTAAGGGGGAACATCCCAGTTTATGGGGAATAAACCCTTAGACCAGTTCCCTTAAGTTCCCTTAAGTTCCCTTAAAGCCTTAAGCCCGTAACCCTAAACCAGAGGCGTGTCAGGAGGGCTTAAGTGTAGGGGTTTAGAGCGTGGTAAGGATTACAGGGGGTGCTAGTGGGGTTTGTAGGTGTGTCATAGGGCATAAGAGAGCTTGTGGGGATTTCAGGGCTTGTAGGGGGAGGGGGCTGAAGCGGTTGTAGGGGTTGTAATTAGGGACTTCGAGGGTTCTGGGAGCGTGCTTCAGGGTTATGGGCTTAGAGGGTTGGGCTTCTATTGGTGCTTTTGCTTCGATTCTTCTCAAGAGTCTTACGGGTTCTAGTCTCAATTTCAACTTCGGAGGCGGGCCTTCAATGAACTGAGGCTTTCGGGCGCAAGTTGGATTTCCACAGGGGCTTTTGGTTGCTAGGGTTTACTGAAGCGGTTGGGTTCAGGATCCGGTAAAGCCCGAAACCGTGCGCCTTCAACCTTGGGGGCTACGAATGGCTCACAGCGGGGGGCTTCAACTTGTTGGGGAGTGCCGCCTTTTGGAATTTTAGGAAACGAGTAAGGTTGGTGGTTTTCAAGAAGGTAAGATGCTTGGGAGGAGCGTTCAAGGGTAAAACAAGGGCCCTGAGCTCGGAAGTCAGTGGGCCAGTGGAGTAGAATTCAGAAAGAAAGAACGAACAGAAGACGATCGAGTTCCGAAAAAACCTAAACCCTAAAACCCCTACACCGCTCCCAAAACCCTCAGCCCTGCTTAGCTGATGGATCTGTCAAGTGTTCTTACCTCGATGTGTGGATCGTAGGCTCTTTCGCTCGACCTGTCCCCTAAACCCTGAACCCTCAACCCTCAACCCTCAACCCTCAACCCTAAACCCTAAACCCTAAACCCTAAACCCTAAACCCTAAACCCTAAACCCTAAACCCTAAACCCTAAACCCTAAACCCCAACGCATAAACGCGCGCCCCAGAGCTCAGCTGGGCCCAAAGCTCCTGAACCGAAAGCTCTCTGAACCTCATCCCCCAGTTCCCCTAGACCCCAAACCCTAAACCCCTAAGCCCTATAAAACCCCAAACCCTAAACCCCTAACCCCCAAACCCCGAACCCCAAACCCCTAACCCCTAAACCCCTAACCCCTAAACCCCAAACCCTAAACCCGAAACCCTAAACCCCTAACCCGAAACCACAACCTCTAAACCCCCAAACCCTAAACCCGAAACCCTAAACCCGAAACCCCAAACCCTAAACCCCAATCCCCACACCCTAGACCTGCCCTGCTTTGCTGAGGCAGCCCTGAGCATCCAGCGGAGTATCGGCAAGTCGCCCATGGGCCTCTACCCAGCGCTTTGGGCCCTCAAATGGGTTTTGGGGGGTTTTGGGGGTTTTGGGGGTTTGGGGTTTAGGGTTTGGGGGTTTTAGGGTTTAGGGTTTAGGAGTTTTCCTAGCCGTAAAAGAGGGGTTTTGGGTTTTGGGGGGTTTGGGTTTGGGGTTTAGGGTTTTAGGGTATGGGGTTTAGGGTTTAGGGATTTTTGGTGTGTGGGGTCACATGTTTCGGCTTCGAGGGAGTTTCGGGTTTAGCTGTTTCATTCCACAGTCAATGCAGAGAGTGCTTGTGGTTCCAGCTAGTTTATTGGAGCCCGGATAAAAAAGTTTCCGAAGACAGCTCTATTGGGAAACGGTTTCAGCAAGATCTCTGAATCTCGACGGGTTATAGCTATAGACACCCTAAACCTAAACCCTAAACCCTAAACCCTAAACCTCAAACTTTATACCTTAAAGCGCCAAAAAGAACTCAAGCTCGCGGTCTTTGATATTGAGGTCTACGACATCCCGCGGCAGGTGGCCCTGGAGTTTACCGGCGTGAAGGTGGGGGAGCTTTGCAAAATCAGGTCGAGGGTTTGACGAATGGTTTAGGGTTTAGGGCGGTCCGTGCCGGCAGGTCCCTAAACCCTAAACCCTAAGCCCTAAACCCTAAACCCTAAACAAGGCTGTCCCCGAAACTCCGAGCAGTTCTTTTTTGCTTTTGGAATTGAGCTCCAGTTTAGCAGCGGGGGGAGGCTCACCCTAAACCCGAAGCCCTGAACCCCGGAACCTGAACCCCAAGCCCCAAACCCGAAAAAGCCTGATCCCCCAAAACCCTAAGCCCGAAGCCCCAGGCCCCCTAAAGTTAGGGTTGAGGGTTTAGGGTTTAGTGTTTAGGGATAGGGTCTAGGGTTTAGGGTTTAGGGTTTAGGGTTTAGGGTTTAGGGTTCAGGGTTTAGGGTTTAGGGCTCAGGGTTTAGGGTGCCAAAGCCCTGCTTCGGCTGTTCCAGGGCACCTCCCTACTGCGCCAAGGTCCTCCAGCCTGCGTCGCTGCAGCACGCGCTGGCGGAGGCCTCCAGATCGGTGGCGCGGATGTCTGGAAGGTTTAGGGTTTAGGGTTTAGGGTTTAGGGTGTTTGGTATTTGGGGTGGGGGTGGGGGGTGTGTTAGTGGGTTTAGGCTTTACTGGGTAGCTGAATGAGTACACGTTACACTTTTGGGGATACCATAATCCGCTATGGAGCTGAAAGTGTGCACTTTTTCGGGGCTGTTGAACGCAGCAACTAAGTTTAGGGGTTAAACATGCCTTGGTCTGTCGCAAGCGTCTCAGGTGCTGCGCGAGGCTTGCAGGCTTCATGTCCCCAGGTCTCTGCATGCTTTCAGCGATTAAGCCTTCCAAGGGTGCACGCGCTTGAGCTGTAGATTTCACACCAGGAGGAGCCAGACAGGGATGTTTGGAAACTTGGTAAGTCATTTAAGTGACAGGTGCGCGTGAGTACGGGGCTTAACTTTCCTCACCCCAGTAAGAATTAAGGCTACTGAAGAACCTAGTAGTATTCAAAACTAAGGTGTAATATCTAAGTGCTTGAGCAACAGAAGCCTACATATTATTATCATATTTATTTGGTGATGACATACTATGTTTGTTTATATAGAATATGGTTCCCTTTGCTCTTGTCGCTAGATCCTCGGCTGAAATATCCGTGGGAAGCCGCTCCAGCCGAAAGAATGCCCGAACCCTGAGCCGCAGCTCCGAACTGGGGTTTGTAGGTTCCCAAGGCCTAACCCCACACCCTAGACCCTAAACCCGAAACCCTAAACCCTAAACCCCACACTGCGGCCAAGGTGAAGTGGTCCGCCTCCGGCGATGGCGCCGCCCTGCTGGAAGGCGGCGGTGCCGAGCAGATCGAGGCGGGCAACGAGCCTGCGGAGGAGGGCGAGGAGGAGGATGCTGGGCTGCGCAGCGTCGCTTGGGGGCTCAGGGTTTAGGGGAATGGAGATGGTTTTCCTTGCTCGGGTGTGTGAGAGCCCACTGTGTGCATGATTCATTGGTTGTGGTGCCATAGCCCTTTGCTGCCGAGGAATGGGTGGAGGAAGAGGAACCGGCCGAGTGAGAGCTGCTTGTGTGGAGAGAGCCAAGAAGGGCATTTGCCGAAGCCCTTCATCTTGGCCCAGTTCGGCCTCGCATGTTTCCACCCGAGGTGAAATGTCGGCTAGGCGCCCATAGAGGTCCTAGGGGGAGTCATCGAGGCCACGTGCAGTCATCAGTGTGATATGCCAGATTTTTTCTTTCAGGGCGATCTGTGGGGGCCTAACCTAAAGATGAACCTGACCTGACCTGCGAATCAGCCAAAGAAATGGCATGCTCGCCCGTGCGGGTGTCATGTGAGCCTGGGACTGCTGGGGGCAGTCTCTCGGGGGCCTCATCGGGAAGTATTGGGGGTCTGATTTTCCTGTCTTAAGGGTTGTCGTAGTTTGAGGTGCATGAAGGTTCGACTTTTGTTATAGACCCATGTGTGCTGAGTGGGGGCTGTGAGGAACTGGCGAGAGTACTTCGCTACAAGCGGGTTCGGAGCAGCATAAATGCTCGAGGTAGCCCAGTGCTGTGTTTGATTGTCGTGGCCCCACCAAGTGCCATGTTGCTCTTGCTAGTACCACTGGCGTTCCTCGCGGCCCACGCGGTCATGCAGAACTGTACGGGCTCCTGTGAAGACAAAGACTCCTTATCCTGGCTCCAGAGCCGGCACTTGCGTGAGACTATGGGCTCCAGCAAGGCATGCGACTGTGTTTACATCATCCAGTCCGGAGACACCTGCTGGGCGATTGCCAAGGACTACTTTGGAGTGGAATACCCGGCGGTTCAGGTGATAAGCACAGGAGAGACTTGCCCGAAAGCCGAGCTCTTTGTGGGCAGCGAAGTCTGCGTCACTGGGCCTACCAAAGGCAAGGAGAAGTGCGAGGGCGGCCCAGAACCCGGTCCCAAGTGCATCTACATCGTGCAGAAGGGCGACACATGCTGGACAATGGCCAAGGATTACTTCGATGTTCCCTACTCCTCGATCACGGACATGCGGTCCGGCGAAAAATGCCCCTGCGAGCTCTGGGAGGGAGACGAGATGCAGATTGAGAATCCGGCAAAGGGCCTGGAGAAGCTCGGGCCCAGAGTAGGCCCTTATTCGCTTTTTATAGGGCTTGGGTTCCGTTCTAACCCCCTTGAGACCAAAAAGGGCACCCTTTTATTTCTAGGGTACTTTTTGGTCTAGGAAGTGCGAGTCCACTACATCTCCGGGACCCACCCTGCCGCCATCTCCGGGACGTTGCGAGTGGCCGGAGAACTTCCAGACCGAGCTGTACTGGATGCCCGACACTGAGAAGCCGGGCAGCACCTGGGTATCTTACGTCTTCCTGCATTTACCCTAGTTTAGACCCACGTGTGTTGTGCTAATTTACGGTTACCTTATATGGGGAATCGACCTACCCCCTACCCTCTCCTGAACCCCTCCCCCCTTATAACCCCCCTTATACCCCCCCCCCCCTTATACCCTCCCTTATACCCCCCCTTAAAACCCCCCCCCCCCTTTATACGTCCCCTTCTTCTACCCCCTCCTTCTTATACCCCCCCCCCCTTATACCCCCCCTTATACCCCCCCCTTATAGCCCCCCTTATACCCTCCCCTTATACCCCCTTATCTTCCGAGGGCTTTTTAAACGCCCAGCCAAGGAAGGATCCTCTTCCCTCCGCCAGCATTCTGAAGCGCGTGACGAAGGTGATCATGGCCTTTGTGGGGTCCTATGCCTATACCAAAGAATCGGATTCTAGGATGCCCAGAAGTTTCCCCAAAATTTTTGCTATTTTTTTTTGGGGGGGTGGGTGGGGGGGGGGGGGGGTGGGGGGGTTTAGGTTCCCTTATGCAACCCCTTTAAGCAATAAAAAGGGGGGGCGCCCTTCTTTGATCCCAGGTTCCTGGCAAACCTAGGATTGGAAACTGTACAAGTGTGAGTCCCAGTGCACCTTCCCCACCAGATGGCCGCTAATGGAGATGCTTGGTACATGAGTGAGTCCCTAAACCCTAAACCCTAAACCCTAAACCCTAAACCCTAAACCCTTTTTTGGGGGGTCTATGACCTCAGCAACTAAGGATGGGCCAGGAGTGGGCCAGGAAGATGAAGGCCGTGAACGCCAACCTCGAGGTGGCTCCCTTCTTGTAGTATAAACCCCTAAAGCCTACACCCTATAAATTAATACGGCGCCATGATAATAGGGACCCAAAAAGGGACCCGAATTTTGAGAACTACCCAGGTGACGATCTCCTTTGGTGGCTGGAACCAGGGGCCCGGCGATCAGGACTTGAATCTTGGAGCTGGTACCCTTTACCGTTTTTCAGGGTTCCGCGTGCCCTTATAAAGCAACCACAAGAATGGCAAGATGGTTACCGGGCTGCCAAGGAATTGCTACGAGATTTCCGGCTGCTACGCCGACGTCTCACACTTGGCCGACGAGCTGGCGCAGCTAAATGGTGAGGCCATTGATGGTATTGACCTGGACTACGAGATGTCTGAGGACCCAGCGTCGGCCCTTATTCCCCTCTCTTTTGTTTCGTTGTTTTTTTTAAAGGTCTCTTTTTTGGTTTGTTTTGTTATTGTGTTTTTAGGGTTTTGGTTCCCTGAATAAGCCCTCGTTAACCAAAAAAGGGCACCTTCTTTGTTCCCCTAGGTATCTCTTGGGGCTAGAGAGTGAGGACCTGGCGTCCGGCAAGGGGGTGACTTTCCTGGGCCTGCTGAGCCAAGCGCTACAAGAGCGTGGAGTTCACGTCTCTCAGGCGCCCCCCCCAAACCCTAAAGCCTAAACCCCAAACCCCAAACCCTAAACCCTAAACCCTAAACCCTAAACCCTAAACTACCCCAAACCCTAGCCAATTGGTTAACAAGTACCATGGAGTTCACGTCTCTCAGGCGCCCCAGCCGCCCTACTTCGACACTTCGGGGCCAGGTGGGGGCTCCTACACAAAGCTCCTGCAGGAATCTGGGTCATTCTTTAAAATATTTTTCAGTTTTTTGTGAATACTTAAGCCCAATCTAGGATGCCCAGTAGTACCCTTATTCCCTTTTTGGGGGGGGGGGGGGGTTTAGGTTCTCTTATAAACCCCTTTAAGCAAAAAAGGGCACCCTTTTTAAGCCTAGGTTACTGGGCAGCCTAGCAATAAGGAACAAACATGATCATCATGCTTAGACAGCAGCACCCCCAAGAATGGTGCAGGATTTCCCCGGCTGCAAGAAAGACTCCATGGCGATTCAGTACTACAATAACCCGAACTTCGCCATCGGCAAGGATGATGAGAACATCGCCGAGAATTACTGGAAGGCCGTGGCGGAGATGGGCGGGGACGCTTCGAAGGTGCTCTTGGGCTTGTGCTTCGTGGATTGCAATGATGGCTACAGGGCCTACGACCCCAGCTTTCCCGGGAAGAGCCAAACCTTGGCGCCCAACCTGCTCAACACCGTGATGTCCCAGGGCACGGGCTTCGGCGGAATCATGATTTGGGCCAACCCGCATTCGAAGCTCGGTAGGCCTTGGGGATAGTTCATATTGTTTTCCCTTATTTGGGTTTAAAGGAGCCATACTTAGGAATATTTTTCAGAGGGTTTTGAGTGCCGTCCTAGGAAGAAGAGCAGCAAATGCAAGGATGCCAGTGGGAACCTCGACGGCTGCTATCCTCAGATGCCGGCGTGGCTGGACACAATCTGCTATTCTGTGGGAGGCACACCAGCGCCCAGACCACCACCGCCACCAGTGCCAGAAGACGGCTACAACGGGCAGTTTGTGATCCCCGCCTCTTGGGGGTCCTCCTCCTGGAAGTACAAGGGCCCCAGTGGGCCGCTTGGCATCTGCTTCGGCGGCGCCAGCATCATCGAGGAGAACACCGTTGCCGGATGCGACCCGGGCGGATCGACCTATCTCGTCACGGCCGAGTTGCTGACGGAGGGCGGGCAGAAGTTCTACGACTTCGGCGGCGGCGACGCCAAGCCGACTCAGTGGTACACCGAGGATCTCTTAGCCAAGCTGGCTGACTACATGGACACCCTGGTCGGCAGCTACGATGGCATCTTGTATGACATTGAGACTTTCCCAGAGGACTTCAACCCAACGACCATGAAGAGTGCCCTTGACGCCTCCTTCTCCCTCGCCAAGTCCAAAGGACTGAACATCATCGCCAGCACGTCGTACACGGCCCCGTACCAGCCGAACAACTATCCTGCGGACTACCACCAGCGTGCAGATGATGTGTGGAAGCATGTCCTGGCTAACCCGGACGTCGACATCTTTTCCCCCCAGTTCTATGGCTCGGACGGCAAGACGGCCTCGATAGTGGAAACCTCCGGGAGCTCTGTCAAATTCACAACGTGGGTGGACACCATCCAAGACCCTTCCGGGAGGATCCGCCCCATCTTGAAAGAATCTATGCTGTTCAGTAGTATACTTTTTTGCTTTTTGGGGTTCTGGGTTCCCTATTTTCGGTAAGCGCCCCAACAAGCATGTACCTTTTTTCCCCGGGTCACTGAACACCTAAGGCGTATTCTGAGCAGTACTATGAGAACCAGGTGGCTGCCATGGAGCAGCAGTGCAAGAGCACCGTCCCCAAGGAGTTCTGCCAAGGTGGCTACATCCTCTGGGGGGGTCCTTGAAGACCTTTTGAAGGGTTGCGGCTTCAGGGTTTTCGTAGGGGTACCCTAAACCCTAAACCCTAAACCCTAAACCCTAAACCCTAAACCCTAAACCCTAAACCCTAAACCCTAAACCCTAAACCCTAAACCCTAAGGGGGTTTGGGGTTTTGGGCGACTTTGAAACTCCCAAGGGCCCTTCGTGGGCCAAGACTCAGGACGGCCACCACAGAGGGTGGTTGCGCCGGTGTCCGTAGCTCGAGTTCCTGGGCCAACGTAGCCCGGCATCTGCTGATCCTCTGATCCTCTGCGGTTTTGGTTCAAGTCTTTACGAAAAGAAGGGGCCCCTAATATAGTCCCCCAAATAGTAGGATCCCCTTCTAACAAGGACCCCAAGAAGGCACCCCGTTGGGGAGTCAGGGTCTTGGATAATCTTCTTCTCGCATGGATCAGAGAGAGTGCATGAACAGATTGTTGACGCGCGATAGGTGGCCAGTACTCGAATATAGAAGCATCGACAATAGAGTAGCAGAGATGAGAGGTACCAGGGTATAGGTAGCGAATACTACACAATGCATAGCAGATAGCACATCTAAGAAGCACCGGTCTGAATAACAAAAAGTATCTCCTACATTCTACATAACCTAGGCAATGCAATTTTCATGTTGTCAAATGCTGTATGCAACATTAATTTATAGTATATGCAGTCTAGAAAGTTCATATACAAGTTCTATAATTTGGAACCTGCAACATGTTATATAACAGATCTGAAGCACACAAGTACTATATCATACCATCTAACATATAGACGTATGTGGTACATGGTACATATTTTGCAGATGTACTTTGAGGATATTGTGTATGTGTATATGTTGATACGATGCGATGTGTACATACACACACATATATATATATAACATACATATATAGAGATCCACAATACGAAGCTCAGAAAGCCATTCGCGCTGGAGGTACGTGAGGGTGGATCGTTTGGTATAGCTCTTTTGGGGGCCTCCTCAAACCCATGAAAGCAGCGGCCCCTAACGTGCGGAAACCTCAGTTTCAAGCGTTTGCTCTGCAGCAGGGCGATCCGTAGGCTGACAGCGAGTTGAGCCTATGGAACATAGCTTGAATTACACGGAACTATAGGGTTTGGGGTTTAGGGGTTACTGTTTAGGGTTTAGGGTTTAGGGTTTAGGGTTTAGGGTTTAGGGTATATCATGATGGCTCCAACTCGTCTGGTGCCCGTCGATCGCAGTGCGGAGCCCTTCCTTCTGGACCCTCGACAGGGATGCGGCCTGTTTCAAGAGGCTTTTAACCCTAAACCCTAAACCCTAAACCCTAAACCCTAAACCTTAAACCCTAAACCCTAAACCCTAAACCCTAAACCCTAAACCCTAAACCCTACACCCTAAACCCTGAACCCTGAACCCTGAACCCTGAACCCTGAACCCTAAACCCTGAACCCTGAACCCTGAACCCTAAACCCTAAACCCTAAACCCTAACCCTAAACCCTAAACCCGAGTGACTTGGGGTTTATGGGGTTTTTATGGGGTTTATTGGGTCTATTGGGCTTGCTGGGTTTATTGGGTTTATTGGGTATATTTTGGGATGTTCTCCCATGTACTAACAGTCCTTAATAAGGATTCGAAAGGGGGTACGAGAATCCCTATTAGGGACTGCTAGTAACAGGGGGAACATCCTAAGGAGTAGCCATGTACCCTTCGCCCTCACACACACACACAGACGCAGTGTTGCATGGATTGTGGGGATGTGCGACGTGACTGCTTGTAGGCGTATGCGACGCCAGGCATCGCAAGGTGGTTTCCTCTGAAGGCGAGTCGATACCCCGTCGCTAGGCAGGTGGCAAGCATCTCGGAACACTTTGAAGACATGTACATGTACATATATATATATATATACAGTGTATATATATATATAGATATGCGAATCATCTTAAAACACTCACATGTATTAATGTTTTGTGAAATCAACACGCTAGGACATTGCCATTCTTGGCTCGAGGGTGGGCCCTCTGAAGCCTTCGGAACCATCTCCTGAGAGCCCTAAGAAGCCTTGAAGCCCTCTAGGGTTTAGGGTTTAGGGTTTAGGGTTTAGGGTTTAGGGTTTAGGGTTTAGGGTTTAGGGTCTAACCCCTAAAGCCCAGGACCCAAAGCCGAACCCTAAAACAAGAAGATGCAAACCCTCGAACTGAGCCCAAACCCCAAACCCCAAACTCTCCTAAGCCCTAAACCCCAAACCCCCAACCCCAAACGTAAGCCCTAAGCCCCAAACCCCAAAACCCGAAACCCCAAACCGCCCTAAACCTAAACCCCAAACCCCAAACCCCAAACCCTAAACCCTCCCAAGCCTTAAACCCCAAACACTAAACCCTAAACCCTAAACCCTAAACCCCAAACCCTAAACCCTTAAACCCGCGCACCTGGCATGGACAAGCCCGGGCCAGCATGGAGGCCCTCGGATCCCAGCTCTAACAGACTCGTCGGGGTTGAGGTGGTTCGGGGGTTTTACGGGTTTTTGGGAGTTTTTTGAGGGTCTTTTAGGGTTTTGAGGGTTTTTAGGTTGTCAGGGTTTTTAGGGTTTTTTTGGAGGGTTTTTTGATGGTTTTTTCGTTTTTTTTTTTTTTAAAGGTTGTTAGGGTATTTTGGGTTTTTAGGGTGTGGGGATTAGGGTTTATGGTTTAGGGTTTAAGGGTTTCAGGCTGCGTGGCAGGAGATGTTTGCAGGTTCTCAGGTCTTGCCTGAACAGCAGGAAGGGGCTTCAGGGTTTATGGGATTTATAGGGTTTGTAGGGTTTATAGGGTTCAGGGTACTAGGGGTTAGGGGTTTCAGGGTGTCGGGGCTTCAGGTTTAAGGCATAATTCTAGGTCGGTTTTTGATGCGGGGGGGTGTTGGGGTTTCAGGTTTTAGGTATCAGGGTGGGTTTAGGGTTTAGGGTTTAGGGTTTAGGGTTTAGGGTTTAGGGTTTAGGGTTTAATTAGGGTTTAGGGTTTAGGGTTTAGGGTTTAGGGGTAGGGGCTCTTGGGGTTTTAGGGTGTAGGTGGACCTCGAGTCGTTTTGCGCTTAACGCTAAGCTTAAGAGAAGCCTCCTGGGAGGTTCCAAGCCGCCTTGAATTTGTTAGGGTTTAGGGTTGAGGGTTGAGGGTTGAGGGTTGAGGGTTGAGGGTTGAGGGTTGAGGGTTGAGGGTGGGAAGGTTCCTGTTGGCTCCTTTCAGACCTGGTGGCTTTGAGGCATGCCTCCTTCCCAGAATGCTTAGGGTTTAGGGTTTGGGGGCTTGGGGGTTTGGGGTTGAGGGTTTAGCGCCGTTAGGACGTAGGTCCTCCGGCGAACGAATGCAGTGCAAGCCATTTCGTCGGTGTCCCTAAATCAAGGGACGAAAGGAGGGACCCTTACAAGGGACCTTAGGGGATATCTAGGGGTTGCAGGGGCTACTTAGGTATATAGGGCCTACATAAAGGTATATAGAGGGGTTATATATGGGATGGACATATATATATATATATGTGGGAATAGGATTGAGGGTCCATTCCTAGATTCTGGGTCCCTCCTTCCACCCCCTTAACTAAAGTACTAAAGTAAACCCCCCCGGCCCCAAGAGCCCGAAAGGCGACCCCCTTGCCCCCTCCAGGCCTACGCCGGGCAGCTGGGCGTTCCAGGCCCCGAGTTGCCGCTGAGGTTTAGGGCTTGGGGTTTAGGGTTCAGGGTTCAGGGTTTAGGGTTTAGGGTTTAGGGTTTAGGGTTAGGGGATTCTTGGGGGCGTTCTTGAACCCGGCCTGGCATGTTATGACAGCGGATGTCATGGGATTCTAAACCCTAGACCCTAAACCCTAGACCCTAAACCCTAAGCCGTAAACTCTAAACCCTAACCCCTAACCCTAAACCCTAAACCCTGAACCGAAACCCGATCAGATCCGCATTCCTAGGTCGGGTTTAGGGTTTCGGGTTTGGGGAGCTGATCAAGTCGTGCCTGCTGCTTTTTTTGGCATCCCCTCCCAGCCCGCCTGTTGCAACAAAAAAGAGTTGAAAGTTGTAAAAAGGCAGGTTCTGAGACCGGGTTTTGACGAGTTCTTTTCCTTCTGGCTGAACCTTGCCGGGGCCTTTTGCCGCTCTTTTGGGGGGTTCGGGTGCATTTTTGCGGTTTTTCTGTCTTTTGGGGGGGCTTCGGCGACTTTTCTTTTGAATTTGTTTCTGGAGCTTTTTTGGGAGGCGCATCCTTGCGCAGCGTCGGCTTGTTTAGACACAGCTTTGCACATTCTGAACGATCTGGGGGTTTCCGAAAACAGGGTGCCATTTTTCGAGGGCTCCTTTGAAAAGGATTAAAAAAAGTATTTTGGGGTATGTAATGGGGTTCCCCCTATGTTTGGAAATCCCCATATGTTGTCAAGTGCAGAGGCTTAAGCAGATTGAAAATTTGGCCTCAAGAGACGTTTGGGATCAATTTACTTAAGCTCGTTTTTTTCGGGGAAACAACTTTGTGATTTCAGAATGATTTGACATACAACTTCTACTTATCCTGGTATTGTGGGTTAGGGTCTAGGGGTTGACGTAAAGGCCTTAAGAGGACTCAAAGTAGAAGCCGCCCCCGAACCACCTTGAAATGAGAACCTTGGGATGTTCCCCCTTATGCCTTATACTAACAGTCCTTAATAGGGATTAATGGATCCCTCACTATAGTCCCGATGAAGGACTGTTAGTATAAGGGGGAACATCCTTACGAGAACCCTACATAATTCATGAGCTCTTGGGGGATGTCATAAGGTGCCAATCTTCTCGGTAGGCCACTTGGGATATGTATAGTTTTTCCCCTTATGGGTTCAAGAGGACCACGTTTAGGAATATTGTTCAGAGGGTTTTAAGGGCCATCCATGTTTCCAAACATTCAGCCCTAAACCCTAAACCCTAAACCCTAAAAGCGCCCTACCAATTGTCAGGCTACTGGCTCTGCGAGGGAGACTTCCTCTCCACCGACGGCTGCCCAGCGTTCCGCGCTCACCTGGGGTT